TTTCTCCAAGTAGTAAATTTTGTCAGTTTCAGAGAACCATCTGAATGGCATGGTGACATTTACAGTAAAATTTAGACTGTAGGAGTAATTCTTGCAGCTGCAGTCTCTATCTACTTGATTGATATTTGAGCCATGACCACAGCTGTGGCCTTATCTTGCCCTTTAAGGTATCTCTGGCCTGACAGGCCACTTACCAGGCCTCAGCAGGACCAGTGATTCATAGAGGTTCACTTATTATGAATCAGCTCCTGTCACCAGGCAAGCGGTCTAAGCTAGGACCGACTCACAGATAAACATAGAAAGCCAATTAGTTAATTTTAAATCCTGGTGAGAACTGCTTCATAGTGGTCTCCAACACTTGTACATATCCTTTTTATTTTTTTTTTTTTCTTGGCTAATTGCTTTGGTTCCTATGTTTAGATGGAAAGCTTTCAGCTTTGTTTTCATTAGCTTTTATGACTGTTCTAGGTTCTTTTATACCTATTTTTTCAAGTTTTTTTTTTTTTTTCCCCTCCTGGAATGAATGGGTAGTGGATTTTGACAGAAGTCTCTTCTGTTTATGTTGTGTATTATGTTTATTGATTTGAATATGTTGATCACACATGACTAGAATGTAGCTTACTCAGCCAGGATATAAGTTTTTTTTAATTTGTTGCATTCTCTAATTTAAAGATTTTTGTATTTCTGTTCATTTAAGAGGTTGGTCTGTAGTTTGCTCTGTTAGTTGGGTCCTTCTCTGGTTTTAAAATCAAGATAGTGCTGGGGATTTAGCTCAGTGGCTTACGTACCAGCCTGGCAAGCATGAGGTTGTGAGTTCAATCCTGGGTAACCAAAAAAAAAAAACAAAACAATCAAGAAAATGTGTCTTTGCCCATAGAATCATAACCATTTCCAATTTCTTCTATTCAGGGAAATGTTAATTTCCAGGAATATGTTTGGAGTACTCTTTTCCCTTTCAGAATCATTATGGAATTGCTCTTTTTTCTACCTTGTCTAGATAATTCAGATTCTGAGGTTTTCTTAGTTGATTTATATTGCTGTTTCAGTTAAATTACATTGCCTGTTATTGGAATGGTCAGAGTAATTTATGTGTATCTAAGAATTTATTATTTCTTCAGGATTCTCTTATTTGTTGGGGAAGAATTCTCCTGTGTTATGATTTTCTGGATATTGGCATTATTTATTGTGATTTTGTCTTTCATTTTTTTCTTTTAATTGGTACCAGGGATCCAACTCATGACCACACACTTGCAAGACAGGCGCTTATGCCTCTGAGCATATTCCCTACCCCGGTCTCTCATTTATTTATTTACTTATTTATTTTTTTGAGACAGGGTCTCTCTATGCAGTTCAGACTGGCCTTGAGCTCACTTTGTACCCCAAGCTGCTCTCCAACTCACAATGGTATTCCTGCCTCAGCCTGTGGAGTGCTAGAAATTACAGGCATGAGCCACCATGCCCAGCTTCTGTCTTTTATTTCTAATTGCATGCATATGAATTTTTTCTTTCTGTCTTTTGGTAAGTTGGACTAACTGATTTTCAAATTTTGTTTCTTTTCTTGAAGAGTCAGCTTTCATTCACATTTATATTCATCCCCCTCCTTCTCAGTTTTGTTGATTTCTGCTTCATTGTTTAGTTTCTCATCTAGTAGTAGGTTTGGGTTTAGACTGTTGTTGTTCTTCTAGGACTTGGAGGTCCATCATTAAAAATTTGAGTTTGCTATTTTTGTAATGTCAGCATTCACAGAAATAAACCTTTCTTTTAGGACTTATATCATTGTTTTCTATATGACGTAGTATATTGTACTGGATTACTGTTTGATTTTTGGATTTTTTTTTTCATTTTTTGAGCCAGGGTCTTGCAATGCAATTCAGGCTGGCCTTAAGATCACTGTAGCCCAAGCTGGTCTTGAACTCACAATGATCTTCCTGCCTCAGCCTCCCAAGTGCTGGGATAACAGGCATGCACTACCGTGCCCAGTTTTGATTTTTTTGAATTTTTAATTCCTTCCATGGTTTCTTTTATGATCAGTGGAGTTTTCAGCCTACTATCCAAGTGTTGTACAATTACCGTGATTTCTTTTATGATTGATTTCATTTTGGTATGCTATAATACGATGGTATACTTGGTATGATTTCAGTTCTTTTGTGTTTATTTCAGAAGGCTTTTTCAATTAATATGTGCTGTTTTGGATAAAGTGGCATGTTCTGCTAGGAACAATGGATATTCTGTCACAGTATGATAGAATGTAGATATCTGTAAGTCTATTGGTTCCAAGGTATGATTTCTTTAATTTTTATTTAGTTGATCGGTTTGTGAGAGTGGGGTAATAAGGTCACTAATTATGATTGTGTTGATCTTATATAGCCAGCATTGCCTGTTCCATGAAGAAGTACAATATTGACAGTCGTACTTCGTGTCTCTTCTTGTTTAATTTTCCCCTTAACTCATATGTAGTGGCTTTTTTTTTTTTTTTTTTTGCTGTTTAAATTAGTTTTAACTTAAAAGTTTACTTGCTCTAAAATTAAAAATGGCTATCCTTGTTTGCCCATTGTTGAGTTGTGATATGTGAAATATTGTTTTCCATCCTTTGATTTTTAGTCTACCAATTTTTTTTTTGGACTAAATGAGTCTCTTCGGTACAGCAAACTATTAGAGTTTGTTTTGTTCTGGTTTATTCTGATGGTTGGTTTGGTGCTCATGACTTTCTAAAGGTATATTTGGCATGGAGTGTCCATATTTCTCTGATGAATTTTGAAAGATAATTCTGCAGGATACATTAGTCTGGTTTAAAAAACCCTGGTTTTGTTTTAGGGGGTGGAATACATGTCACACTGTGGGACAGCTCTGATGTGAATGGGGTCCTGCATGGGGCAGTCATATATGTACCACTGGTGGTCAGAGCCAATGGGAATGTGTTACATTTGATGTTGAAAAGTTTTCTGTAATTTACCTTTATAATTGAGGATTATATTTGTATTTTTCTGACAGTTGCTAAGATTTTTCATGTTACACTACTGAGATTGTTTTTTGTTTATTTGGTACTGGGGATCAAACTCATGACCTCATACTTGCCAAAGAAGCTCTTGTGTGCTCAGCATAGTACTGAGATTTTGACTGTAATGTGTCACAGAAACTTCTTTTTTCGTTCCCATTATTTGATGTTCTCTTAATAAGGCTTGATTACCCAAATTTTGAGTTTTTTCTCCATATTGGAAAGCTTTCTTTTATGATTTCTGTAAACAGATTTTTTATTTCAAATGTGTTTGTTAGTCTTCTAGTAGACGTTGAAGGAATTGCTTTTGTTTTCTTATTCTTTCAAGGTTTTCTAGAGTGTATCATCATGTGATGCCATTTTTTTTACTTAGCTTCTGAAATTCTTCACGTAGGTCATTTCTGTTCTTTATGTATTCTGTAAAATTTTTAATTTTCAGTATTTCCATATGGCAAATTTTCATAGGGCCTTTTCACATATTCTTTGGTAAATTTGTTAGTATTATTTTGAACAGGAATGGTCAACTCTTGTAATTTGTCTCCCATAGCTATATTTTGTTAGTTCCTCTATTTGGCATTATGTATTGTTATGGTCATTATCAAGTTTCTTTGCTTCCTTTTAAAACATTGAATGGAGTTCAGCTGTCTGGTTTGGTTTTTTTCCCCATTGATGTCCTTTGGATCTGATCTGGGGGAGTTTGAAATCTTTGAAGACATGTTACAGACTTCTTTTCTTCATGTTTTCTTTGTGTCTGTCTGTGTCTATCTCTCGCTCTGTCTCTGTTTCTATATGTGTCTCTCTACAGTCTCTTCCTCTCTCTTTCTCTTTGAGAGTTTATGTTAAATAAAGAGAATTTGTTGCTGTTATGAAAATCTCTGAAGTTTGGTTATATTTTCCAAGTATATATTCTTGGCTTTATTTGTAAAGAAGTATTTTTTCAGTCTATTCACTTCAGCCTATTCAATTTAATAACCTTAACCCTATCACTAATCCTTTGTTCCATTGTTTTGTAAGGAGGGAATTTCTATTGGTTACATCATCATCAACAGATCCAAGCATATATCAGTCATGTATTAAAAATTGTTTTTCCATTTTCTTCCTTATATTAATGCTCCTTATAGCCTGTACTGTACTGTTAACTGGTAGTATGTAGTATTGAGCAAGATGAGGAAAAGAAGGAGAAAAGGAAGGTAGTAAAACAGGAGGATGGAAAAAGATAGGGAAAATGTTAATATGCAAAAAAATATGGAAGGTTAGAGTCATTCAAAGGTATTTATAATTGAAGTAAAAGATTAGGTTGGAGGCTTTAAGATATTTGTTTAGCAAGGGGAGGAATGTAGAGGGAAGCAGGTATAGTTTGTGATTGAGGGAAGCCGTTAAATGGTTGATATATTTGTCATTTTTTTGTTTGGATTCTTTAAGCACAGGCGCCCCCCCCCCCCCCTGAGCTATAATCACTGGCCGTAAGGACAGTTCTGGTAAAGCAGTGATCTAGTCTTCTTTTCACTTTCTATATAAATAGCCTCTCCACACGTGAGTGAATGTGTGTGTGTGTGTGTGTGTGTGTGTGTGTGTGTGTGTGTGTGTGTATGTATGTAACCTGAAAAATCGGGAAAACAGCAAGGGAAAACAGATTGATCAGTAAAATAAGAGTAAAGAATAGAATAGATGAAAAGTATTACAAATGAGAATGGAGTACAGCGTAAAAACTTAAAAATAAAATTGAATAGCATAATAACCTGAAGGTTTTCTTATTTCTAAATGTTTTTCTTGACTTTGTCTGGAGACTTCTGTTAGACTTTAAAAAAAAGAAAGAAGAAAAAAACTAAAAATCTAGACCATGATGATTAAGAAGAGTCTGAAATATTTTTCTGAATTGATGCCTGTGTTACGTGTTTGACTTATTATTTCTTTTAAGCATGTTGTGAAATATGACAAGAAAAAATATCATTTGTTACTACTTGTGCTACATATAAAACTTAATAAAACTTCCTTTGTCTTACAGAATGCTGCCTTTTTATATGGTCTTGGTTTGGTGTACTTCTACTATAATGCATTTCATTGGTAAGTTAACTTATTAGTGGTTCTTCTAGTAAATTATTATATGTAACGAAATATTGTAATGTTTACAACTATACATTTTTAGTAGCATCTTTGGGATTCAAATTCAGTTTGATACCTCATTTTTTCACCTTATACTCATGGCTACCAACTAGTAATTTAATTATATATTTTTACTTTCTTATTAATAACAGATTGATTCTAAACTTTTAACATCCTACTAACAATTACATTTTGAGAATTACCTATAATTGTAATATATAAGATATAATAAAGTGCAAGAAAGTCTTTAGACCCTGTTTTACTTTGTCTCTCTCTCTCTCTCTCTTTTTTTTTTTTTTAAATAGGACCAGCTGTCAAAGTCAGGACCTTGTATTTGCCAAGCAGAGCTGGGTCATTAAGCTATATCCCTGGCCCCATGCCATCTTTGAGTATGAAACAAAAACTAGTATATAGCTAAAATTTACAAGCATGTTTAGGTTACCTTGAATAACAAAGTTCCTAAATATGCATTGACAATTATTGGTCTCCCAGAAGTAAATATTCAACTTTAATTGAAAGTTTTTGTTGCTATTTGTCTTAATGTTTTGCTTTTGGACTACCTATCAAGTCAGGGAATATTGAATTACTTGTTATATAACCAAATTTTGGGTTACAGATACTTATAAATTGTTTCTGTGTTTATACCTTACTGCCTTAAACCATGTACTTTTATGTAAAGTTAGGCATATTGAAAACCAATTCTGAACTTTTATAGTGAGGAGTTATAAATTTAATCCTTTAAATTTGTGGATGGGAAAAATAGAACATGTAAGTATTTAGTCATTTATTGTGTTTCCAGACTTGGGGTTTGGTTTCCATTCTAATAATATAAAGTATTATCTTTATTAAAAGAAAAATAACATCTTTTGAACTTGACTGTCAAATACATTGATATCTTATTTTGTTTTGTTTTATTTTAAATATATTTACTGGAGGAAAAGAAAGCTTCTGTCCAAGAAGGAGACTGAAAGAGTATTTAATGGATTACCAAAGACCTTGCTTTCTCCAGGGATTTTTTTATATAGCAAATGCATGAGGTCATATAATGAAAAAATGGCAAATTGTAAGTTTCATGTGAGACGGGAGAAAACTGTGGTCAACCAGTAAGATTATGAGTATAATTGCTCAAGTAAAATTGATTAAATTGGGATCAAATGGGGAAACAAGTCACATAGTAAGTAGGCATGAAAAAAAACTGAGGCTTTTCGTATAAGGGTTTGGGTCACCTGGCTTCTTCAAGGTGATGGATACCTATTTAGAATATGAACCTCTGATATTATCCTTAGGAGGTGTGTGGGTGCATTTGTTCTATCTTTTGTCCTAAGTGTTGGCCCAAAGCAGAGGTGCCTTTCTGCCACACAGTTGTAAGATATGTTGTCTTCTGCACTGGCTGCTTTGGGACTTAGCCTAATTTGACTGCCTATATGTTGATATTTTAAAATCATTTAGGTCACTTATGATTGGAAAGAGTACAGAATACTGAAAATGTTTATGATAGTATTGATAAGAATTTTTAGAGATATGTATTTCGAGGTGAAATTCTGAGTTATACCAGATAGTATATTTGTTGTATTTTGTTCTATGTGAAGATAATGATTTAAAACCATCATTAATATAACTAGTCTGAGCATGTAGATGTATTCATTTTAGCCAACTGGAATTAATTCCCATGACTCTATTTAAGACATTTTACAGTTGAGGAATAAACAAGTATACCTGGTTTTGTTCAACTCATACAGTAAAATTTATGATTCTTCATAGATGGAAAGACAAAATCTGTAAAGCTAAAATGTGCACATACTCAAATACTGTATAGTTAGCCGCTAATAGATGTGAATGATAAATCACTCAGTGTGTCATCTTTAAAAGATTTCTGTATGTTTCGTTCAGACTCTAAAAATGCATTGTACACCTCTGTTTATAAATAGAAATGAATTATCAAAAACATATTTAGGATATTACTTTGTCATAATTGGTAGTATGACTAGTGTGTACATCTTTTGGACTATATAGAAAACATTTAAGGTTCTACATGGTTATTCTTCAGGTGTTTGGAGGAATAATTTTTTTTTTAAGCCAGTCAAATTTAGCAGTAGGGGAGTGGTATACCAACTTTAGTGACACTAATGTTAATAAGTTCTGATAACCCACTGCCATCGGACCAGCTTGGAGAATAATTTTTTTAAAAAAAGTTTTTTCCCATTTTATCTCTCATACTCATTTTTAAGAGCTTGTCTGTAGGTCCTATCAGCAGAGTGCAGCAACTTGTATTCTCTTAACTGAGGAAGTGCCCTCCTCTATCTGGGATGGTCTTCAACTTTGTTTTCAACTGAGCACAAAGCTTCTGGAGGGATGCACATGAACTGTTGAGGGAGGAAGGGCACACCTACCTTGCCAGACCAATCAACCAAATCAACCTGGCTATCAACGGACTGAAAGATGTTTCAGCCTACTCACTTTTGAGAAAAATGTTAATTCACATCACTTAAGGGATAAGATGTTCAAAATATATTAAAATTTTTTTTTTATCACTTGATTTTGTACACAGCAAGTGCTGAAAACCACAGGCCCCTTGGGTTTCTTGGGTGCAGGACCATGAGAGGAAGAGAAAAATGAAGAGACAAAGCTGGGGTTAGGTGGGGTGTTTACTTTCCAGATGGGAGGAAAGAAACTGGAGGTTCTTTCCATGGGTGTTTAACACCGAATTGTCCTAGCTATGACCCATCCTGAGTGTATTGGGGCTTAGTATTCTTTGGGCTGAAACAGCTTCTTCACATGGCTTGCCCCAGATATTCTCTGTTGTTGGGATGGCTAGGCAACATCCTGTATTGTGTGGCCAGTTTCCTGCTGCAATTTCTCCCAACAATGAAGAACTGTTAAAAGTAGTATAACCAGGATGGTATAAAATGGAAAAGCTCATTGTGATTTAGAGGTATAATTTCAGTGTGTAGCAGGCCAAGGCATGAGGATTACCACAAGTTAGAGACTAGCTTGAGGTGGACAGTAAATCCAACGCTAACCTAAACTAGATAGTGAGATTGTGTCTCAAAAAGAAAAGTAGCCTCAAAGCCCTAGAAGACTCAATTCTAGATGTCTTTTCCCTTGAAGACTGTCTTCCTGTCAGGAGAGAAAGCACAGTCATTCTCTTTCTCCCCCTCAATAGATCCGAGTCTGAGTTCTACTCCCGCTATAGAAAAGAAAGAAAAAAACTCCAGAGCTCCCCGATCTTTCAGTGAAAGTAAAAGAACCTTTAGTACAAGAGGCCACATCTACTAGTGATATCTTGAAAGTTCCCAAGCCTGAACCCATGCTATATCCTAAAGAATCTTCTCCGGAAGAAAATTCTTATTTTTAAAAAAAAATCGGGCCTAGAACTTGGTTACCTTCCACATAAGGGTCTTGGACCCGTTCTTGCTCTCCTTTCATACCTTTTTTTTTTTTTTTTTTTTTTTTTTTAAAGTTTGTTTCTTTTTTTCTTTTTTGTTCTTTGGTACCAGGAATTGAACTCACAACCTAGCGCTTGGCAGGTAGGTGCTTATGCTACTGAGCTAAATCCCCAGCCTCTCCTTTTCATACTTGACCAAAATGGTACCTCAGGTGCAGATCAAGATCAGATTCACCTACAAGGTGGCCATGCCAAGGGGACCATCTCCTCGAAGAAGAAAGCTGCTTTCCCAGAGGCATAGAAGGAGTAGATCTCTAGGAAGAAGAAGGCGCTCATCAGCATCCTTGTTTGCGTCTGGGAGTAGCTCATCATTATCGTCTGTTCCTACTTATCACTAAAGAAACTTCCCAAGAGGACCTTGAGCCCTCGTTGAGAAACTCTTAGGTTATCTCCTTCAGGGACACCTCCAGTCGCTCCACCACCAAAAATTTCGTCATTCTCCAACAGCGCAACTGGTGGACCAGTGCTTGCCTCCATGGAGAACACCATGACAAAACGTAAAGCTGCTGAGAAAAAAGGATCACCAGCACCAGCGCCAGCACCAATGGTGAAGTACTCATCTGATTCCGAAGAAGATAAAGGTGGCCAAGCGGCTACAGCCCATTTTGTGTAGCAGAAACCCTAAAAAGGACAATAGGGCCTGCCGTACACATCCGCCTCTGGCTCCTCATCTTACTCTGTGGATGAGCAGCCCCGTGGGAGCAGGTCAAGTGTGGAGAGGCACCAGTGCAGCTGAGAAGTTCCCTTTCCCTGATTGTTGCCCCCACCTTAGAAGCGCCCCACAGAGGCTCCGAAGTGGAGAAGGTTCTCTGCACCCACCAGGAGGTATTGCTCTCCCTCTCCAGTTCTTCCTTCTCATAGCCCGCACTGCCCCTAGGAAGAATGGCTCCGATGATGAAGGGTCTGCACTCACCTTCCCCAAGAAAATGATCTCCTCCCATTTAGAGGAGATACTCTCTGTCTCCAACTCCAAAGAGAATTGCTTTACTCTCACCCCCCGCCCACCCACCCAAGAGAAAGAACATCGCCATCCCTGTAGCTAACATGCCAGGTGTCCCCGTCTCCACCTCCAAGATACATGCCTAAGCCACCCAGAGACCCTTCCTTCTCTTTCCTCAGTGCATAGTGCCTGTCCTCCCCAAGCTGCGCTTAGTAGGAGGCCTGCTCACCACACCTGAACAGCCAGCTTTCTTCTTCCCCGTGGCCTCCAGCTCCTTAGTCCTCGAGTCCTCCCTCTGTTTGAAGAGAAACCTCAGAGTCATGCCAATGAAGCAGTCCTCCTCACCAAGTGCCAGGCTCGTCAGAAGAGCCTCCAGAACTCCAGAAGACAAAAAAGGCTGCCTTACCAAGTCTGTAGTTTGTGAGAAGGGGTTTTTCCTCTTGTCTGTTTCTGAATTTTCTGAGCCAACAGCTAAAAAGTCCCTCGCTCTTTCAGCTTCTGTCCAGGCTCAGTTGCCCTGTATAAACTGGTCAACAGAGATGACCATCCAAAAGGCTAAAGCCACAATGCCATGCCCATCACCAGCCAGGAATTCTGATCAAAAGAGGGTGGAGAGAAAAAGAAGAAAAAGAAGGACAAGAAACACAAAAATAGTGAGAAACACAAGAAGCACAAAAAACCTAAGAAGGAAAAGACTAGCTGCAGCTGCTGTAGCTCCTCTGACTCCTGCAGTTGTTGGGCTGCTCCAGCCACATTAGCACAGGAAGAACCGGAGGCCGCTCTAAAGCCAATGAAAGTGAAGATAACACTGACTAGAGAAGCACCTGTGGGAAAAGGCTCTGAGATCCATGCAGAAGGTTTAAGTGTCACCACAGTTCTAAGTGGAAATGTTTGTGAGGATGTAAATTTTATTTGGTTTGTACTCTATATTCAGTTTCAAAATTGTTAAACTGTGTTTCGAGCCTTAGACTATAACATGGATTGTAATAATTGCTAGGTTGAAGTTCACCGTGTTAAAAACAAATTGGGGGCCGGGGAGACTGGATTTATATTGCAAAAAGTATCCACAGTGTATTAGTGACATTCTTTCATTGACAGCTGACATGTTCCTGTAGAATAACATATTTTAAGTCAAAAGAAATCTCTAAAAAAGAAAAAAAGGATTTAAGAATTGTTGGCATTCTTAGGGTTTTTTGTATGCTCAGGGCTATCCCCATGATGGTTTCCCCCTTTCTTTTTTTCTTTCCTTTTTGTCGTTTGAGTCTTCATACCCATTTAAGTTATGCTTCCAATCTAATATGGTTTGTAAGCTTGTCCAGAGATAAGGCCACTGTTGATATTCCACAAAAGTATAAATGAATATACTAATGCCACAATCTTTCCTATTGATGTGGAGTTACTATTAAAATGAGTCTGTATTCATGCTCTAGGTCAAGACAAAAAATGAAAGCATGTTTTCCAGGACATTGGGTTCATATGAATGAATAACAAGTTGATTCGGAACACTAGAATTTGATTGTATTCTGTTCTGGGTTTCTTTTTTCTTCTCCCTCATTTTCACCAGCTCTCTTTGTTCCCTCTTCTTGCCCTTCTTGTGAAGGCAGTCAGTGTGTCCCAGAGAGGATTGATGATTCAGCTATGTGAACTCTTTGTTTTCTGAAATTTGTATTATTCTTTCAATTGGAATATATAATATTCAGAACTCTTGTATTTGGAAGCTGGAAGAGTGCTGGTTTTGAAATAGTATCTTGGTTTCACTGGTTTTTATGTTTGCTGGTTTGTTTTTGTTGTTGTTTTTTTTTAAAGTAATTATATGAAGTTTGTGGATTAAATGGTAAATTTATAAATTAAAAAAAAGTAAATAACAAATTAAGAGAAAGGTAGACTATTAGGTCAATGAAGATTGAATTGGTAGAGAAAACACAGAAAGAATATCATGAATATGATTTATAAACAAAGGGCACAGGATTGTTGTGGAAATAAGAATGGTCTTTTCCACAAATTATACTACTAAACCAGTGGCATACATGCCACAGTAGGCTTTCACAGCCACTGCTTACTGTAAAACAGCAATACTACAGTTAAACCTGAATATTGAAATTTAACTCAGAAACCACAGACAGGACTATATATGAGTTGTGTGTAAGTGGGTTTTGGGTTGCAGTTTACGTACTTGCTCTAAAAAACATTTGTCATCCCTGCAATAGACTGTGGAAAACTTATATAGGAAAAATAAAGATGATCTCTTTTTTCTATATCACATCTACTTAAAGATAATAAAAACATTGTAAACCAAAATGTGAAAGGCAAAAATGAAAGTTCTAAAAAGTAGAATGAGGTGGAACAGAATAGAACCATTATCAACAGTCTTATTATTTTATTTATTTTAAAGAAAATAAAACAAAATCTCAAGACCAGGAAAGAAACAATGATTAATACATTGTGTATTATTATCTTCAAAGTAGAGCACAAGATACAGGCATGAAATCATTTCTTTACAAACTTTCCTAATACTGCTCCCCCTTTTCTCCTTAATCTCACTGTGTAGCTCAGATTCTTTGAATTTGTGATAGTGCTTCTACCACAGTTTCCTGAATGCTGAATTACAGGTGTGCCACCATACTTGGCATTACTCATTTCTAAAATTAGTGATATACACTAAAATTTTTATTGGAACTTTAAGTATTGTTGAATAATTGGAAAAATTGAAAAGAAATGATCTCTTTTCCTGTTGCCCTCCACCTTTCCTCTTTGTCCTTCTTTCCTTCTGTTCCCCCTCAACCATCATCTCCCACTTGTCTCTTGCTATAAGATCTTGCCATTGTAGTCCAGGATAGCCTCAGACTAACTAAGTGATCCAGGCTGACCTTGAATTTTTGGTAATCCTCCTGCCCTAGCCTCCCCAGTGCCTAGTATTAAAAGTGTGCACTTCCACATTTAGCTCTTTCCTATTTTCTAAGCTTATAAAAACATTGCCTGTATTGTTTTTATAAAATTGCATGTCCATTTCAAGTAGGCAACCGAATATTTCCTGTAATATCATGTAAAATACATGTATTAAAGACAATGATTTATTTGTATTTTTTTTTCAGGGCAATTAAAGCATTTCAAGATGTACTTTATGTTAACCCTAGCTTTTGTCGAGCCAAGGAAATTCACTTACGACTTGGGCTTATGTTCAAAGTGAACACAAACTATGAATCTAGTTTAAAGGTAGGTAGTTGAAATTTTCCCAGATAGCCTCTCTCTGTGTGTTTGTTTGTGTATGTGACATTATATGGTATTGAGAATGTGTGTTGGAATTAGAGAAATTCTCATGTCTTATAAAATGGAAAATGTAGGACCTAAAAATGCAAAAAGATTGGGGTTGACTTTGGGATAGAAGATGCAGTATGGGTTAGGGTTATAGCTCAATGGCATAGTGCCTGCCTGGCAAGTGGAAGGTTCTGAGTTCAGTTTCCCATACTGAAACAAAACATTAAAAAAACCAAAATACAGTGTAGGTTTTCAATATTAATGTTCTCAAATCACAAATTTTTTTGTTTTGTTTGGTTTTCAGTATTTAGAGACCTTTGTAGTAAAAGGTACCGTGAAGTGGTGATGTTATTTCAGCATAAACATTACTTTCTTGTCAGTGAGTACCCCCAGTGAGAGGAGAGTTGATTTAGTGATGTTTTACTAATCATTGATTTATGTATGTGTGTCAGTAAAAACTTGTTCACTTTAAGAGTAGAATGTATATCATAGAAAAGTGATAGAATATTCTCTGGGTTTTGTACTGCCATTTGGTGAGTATAAAAATATTAGCAAATTTAGTACATTATTGTTTATCTACTGTGCTAATTTCAGTGTAAATTTTATTTCTCAAAAACATTGTGGTTTTTTTGGTTTTGTGCCACTTTTGTTTTCTATGACATTTGGTGGAAACAGGACTTTAACATTATAAAAATTCTTAAAAGGTTTTATTGTATATATTTGTCATACATAATGGTCACCTTCATCATAGGGAATACGTACAGGTACATAATATATCCTATTTCTTTTTTTTTCTTTTTTCTTATCCTGCCTTCAAGCCCTCCTCTCCTTTCCATTTACAAAAATATTCCTTTTTTCCTTCTGCTCTTTTTAAAAACTCCCTTTTCCTTCCCTTCCTCCCTGCTCTCTCCTCCTTTGCTCCCCTTCCTTTTTGAAACTGTTTTCCCAATATCTACCCTCCATTTTGTTCCTTATTTATTACCTTTGGGTTTTTCATACAAGAGAACCAATGCAGTACTTACATTGTGTGTATAGATTTATTTCACTTAAATTATGGTCAGGTGCACTAGTTACCTAAAAATGACTCAAGTTTATCCTTTGGGACATATATAAATATATTTTCTTTATTCATTTATCTTATTATGAGTATTGGGGTGTTTCTGAGACTTAGGTATTATAAACTATACTGATATAACAATGGGTATGCAAATGCAGTACAGGGCCAGAGTCATAGCTCAGTGCCATAGTGGGGAGAATAGTTGGGAACATACCAAAGAAAGAGATCGGCTGGGTCAAAAAAACCTCTAGTTCAGATTTTTTTTTTTGGTGGTACCAGGGATTGAACTCATGACCTTGCACTTGCTAGTAAGGTGCTTATGCCACTGAGGTAAATTGCAGCCCCATAGTTAAGATGTTTTTAAAACCTCTCCATTCTGATTTCCATAGTGGTTGTACAAGTTTACATACCCACCAACAATGGAGAAGGGTTTCATTTTCCCTACAGCCTTACCAACATTTATTACTGTATGATTTCTTGATGAACAGGTATTCATCCTGAAGGGAGATGGAATTTTAGTATTGTTTTAATTTGCATGTCTGAAATGACCAGTGATGTTAAACATTGTGTTCATGTACAGTGGTAGCTTAGTTCATAAACTGAATTCATTTTTGATTTTGGAAAGATGGCCATGATTGTGTTTGTCACTCCATGTAAAGTTTGTGAATGGAAGAAAAGTTTTGTGAAGCACTTTGGTTTGAAAATGAAATTGTTTGTGTACAGAAGGATTTGTAAACCAAGATATTCCTGTATTTATTTTCTAATTTTACTTCTTTATCTGAGACATATCTACTCATTTCAAGTGCCTGTTTTTGGATTGAGTCTTTAAATTTGGGGGAAATCTGATTTTTTGAAATTTTCTCTATTCTAGATTTAGTCATGTCTCTGAGGAATAGGTGGGGAAATATTTCTCCATTGTGTGAGTTATTGTCTTCTATAAATAAAACCCTAGAAGACATAGGTTATAGGCAAAGACTTTCTAAACCATAATGACACAGGAAATATTACAAAGAATTAACAACTAGGATCTCAGCAAATTTAAAACATTTTGTACAGTATAAGAGACCATCAGTAAAGTGAAGAAGAGGTGCCAGAACTTCACAGGCTGTTTTCTGGCCTTAGCTCTGGCTGTTGGCTTTAAGATTAATTTGTTTCTAACCAACATAGGCCTCAACAGTTTATCATTAGTTGCAGGCTGCTTAATACTGCATCAGTCTGGTCCTCAGTATGGAAAGTTATTTTTTCCAAAACTATTTGTTTGTTTGTTTATTTATTTCCCCAGCACTACTTATTAAAAGAAGTTTTTTTCTAGTGAAGGTTTTTGACACTTTCATCAGAGATAAGGTGGCTGAGGAATTTGGAGGTGTTTCTGCATTTTTAATTCTGTTCCATTGATTCTTGCGTATGTTTCTTTGCCTCAAATGTTGTTTCTGTCAGTTTTACCATTTAATATGTTGTGGCTGTTGGTTTTTATACATGGCCTTTATCAGAATGAGAAAAGAATTTTTATGCTGATTTTCTTTCTTTCTTTCTTTTTTTTTTTTTAATCGGTTCAGGGGACTGAATTCACAACCGCCTGCTTGCAAGGCAAGTGCTTATGCCGCTGAGCTAAATCCCCAGACCCTACCCTAATTTTCTTTAGGATTCATATTATGAATAGAAGGTAGACTTTGTCAAATGCTTTTTCTGCATCTGTTGAGATCATCATATGATTTTTTTCCTTGATTATGTTAATTTTATATATTACATTTATTGATCTTCATAAGTCGAATCATCCTTGTATCCCTGGGATGAAGCCTCTCTGGTTATGATGTATAATTTTCTTGAAGATTTGCTGCATTGTTTGTCAGTATCTTATTAGAAATTTTTGCATCTGTATTCATTAAGTAGTTTGCTTGGTAGTTCTCTTACTGTAGTGCAGATTTGCAAAATAGATATTTTCTTGATTTATGTAGGATCTGTTGTGATTTTACTCTTCATTTCTGATTGCATGGGTTTGAGTCTTTCGTTTCTTTGTTTTCATAAGGTTGGCTTAGGTTTTTTCTGTTTCTTTTAATCTTTTCAAAAGATTAAATGTCAACTCTTAGATTCTTTGTATTTTTTAATTAGTCTCTCATTTACACTGACTTGCTCTGATCTAATTCCTTTCTTTGTACGAGCTTTGGCTATAACTTGCCCTGTTTTGGTATAACTTGAGGTTTAACATTAGGTTGTATATTTGAGCCTGTCTTCACTGGACTGTGTTTACTGGGACCCATGCGTTCCAATATGTCATATTGGCTTCATCATTTAATTTTAGAAACTATCTAATTTCTTCTTTAATTTCCTCTTACCATTGATTGTTCAGGACAGTACTATATACTTTCCATGTGTTTACATGGTTTTTGTATTTTTTGCAGTTGACTTCTGATTTTATTGCATTATGTTCTGATAATATACATAGGATGATTTCAGGTGGTTTATATTTACTTAAGCATGTCTTATGAGCGAGTTTGTGGTCTATTTTAGAAACAGTCCCTAACTGCTAAGAATAAATATTTAGTTGTTAGGTGGAATAGTGTTCTAATTATAATAAGTTAGGTATAATAGTGTACTAATTACTAATAAGTTCATTTATTGAAATATTTTCTTCAGATCTGATATTTGTTGATTCTTTCTAGCTTATCTATTTGTGACAATAGGTATTGAGGTTCCTCATTATGACTATAAGTAAGTTGTTATCTGATTTTTATATTCATTAGTTTTTGTGTATCAGTATAGTTGGGTGCAATATTTTTGATGTGTATGCTTATGATTATTATCTCTTCCCTTTGGATTCTTTCCTTAACAATGTGTAATGACCTTCTTTGCCTCTTCTAACCAGTCTTAGCTTAAAATCCAGTTTGTCCACAAAATAGCTACCCTGTTGTTTTTTGGTTCCTGTCACATGGATTATTGTTTCCCATCCTTTGACTTTTAGTCTATGAATTTTTTTTTTTAGTTAAGTGCTTTTTGTTTCTTGATCCATTCTACCAATTTGCTTCATTTGATTGGTGAATTGATACCATTCACACAGTTATAACTGATTGGTATTGATTTATCTTTATCATTATATACTTTCTTGTCATTTGTTCCTTTTGTCCCTTAAGTTTAATTGTTTGTCTTGTGTGGTAGATTCATTCTGTTAAGATTGTTGGAATTGTCTTAGTTGTCTCTTCCTTAAGTATCCTTCAGAAATTTTTTGAGATACTGGCTTGGCGATCATAAATTTTCAGTAGTTCTTTTTCATTCAAATACCTAATTTTTAAAATTGCTTTTTGAAAGACAGTTTTGTGCAGTATGTGAATCTGAGTTGGAGGTTGTTTTCTTTAGGACTTGAAATACCTTACTCCAGTTCTTCTTAGGGATGTGTTCAGAGGGCTGTTATGATTCTGATGGGCTTTCCTTTGTAGGTGATTTGTTTTATCCAATGACTTTAGTATTCTGTTCTTGTGTTGATTTTCTGGAATCCTGATTATTATATATGTTGGTATATATATATATATATATATATATATATATATATATATATATATATATAATTTTTTTTTTTTTTTTCTGATTGTGACTCTTTGCCTTCCTGTTTGCCTCACTTACCCGAATGACAAGTTCTTTTGGAAATTTTTCTGCTATGAATTCTGTAAATTTTTTTTTTATGCCTTTTGTGATATCTTCTAGTAGACTTCCTTGCATCATTTGGTGGTTGCTAGATAGATTTTTTTGTGGTGTTTTGCTACTCAAAAACATTTAAATGATTTGATAATTGCTAACAACACCCTGTCTTCTAGATCTAATGTACTTCGTGCACCTTGGTTGACTTTGCTGCATATGCTTTGAATAGAACTTTTAATCTCTTAAGTGTGTTTTATGAAATTCAGTTCTT